TCTGACCACATTCCACGTGCTCAGTAACCACGGGTGGCTGTTGGTGTTCATACTGCCAGGACGGGGGTGTTTGACCAGTGCGGCGAGTTCTCTCGGACAGCACCCTGGACGGTCTTCTCTTTTCTTCCTTTTTATATGGCTGCAGAGAGTTTGTTGTGTGACTGCATCACCATTCTGCTGTTGGCGGCCATGTAGGTGTGTGAGTGTTTGCTGTTACAGTTGAGTGTGCGGCAGTTGTGTATGTGTCACTGATCTCGGGCAGCCGTGTGAGTTCTCCAGGGTAGATACGCAGGACGAAAATGGGCTGTGCACCTCTTCAACCTCACTAGGCCCTGCCCTCTCAGTTCCTCCCAAGCAGCTTTATCCATGTGCATCCCAAAGCCAGCCCCTGTGACGGCCGCATGTGTGCACCTCGGCCCTGGCGGCACTTGGCCGAGTATGAGCCTGTCTCCGGTTGTGCTTTCAAGATGCCAGCCTCCCAGGAGAAGGTGTGGAAGTTAGACCTAGAAAGCTGTCGTTTTGCAAGTAGTTTTGATTCTGATTTACATTCCACTTTACATCCAAAGCCACATCACGTGTTACACATGTTCAGCCTAATTTAAAAAGTCTCTTCACAGCCCCAGGTGTGGGAAACACAGGGCAAGTTGAGTGCATGTGAACCTGCCCCCACCCCCCATGGTGACTTTTTGGTATTCCTTCCACGCATACAGTGGCATCCGTAATAAAGTTGGGAGAGCTGGTGAATGTATATGAGTACATGTAAGACACACAAGGACCTGACACACATGACACGTATTGTGTTTGGCTTTCATTACTCTGTTTTCGGAAGCACTCCCTGGCCCTGCTCACTGTGGGGTGCATGGCTTGCATTGCCCCGCTGTGGGCTAGTGAACCGGCTCCTGTTGCATTGACAAGGTCACTGCCATCTCCCAGTCTTGTAAATGGCCCGGCACAGCCCCCCAGTCTGATGGCTAGTAGACCACGTGGAGAATTCATCTTTTATAGTCACCATTGGGCTTTTTGGCACGTGAGAGGCAGCTCCCGGGTGTTCATGGACAATCTAGCCTGCTCGGAATCGTGCCTTTCCCTGCGGTCCTGCCTCAGGAAGCTCTAGGACTTATGGGAAGTTCATTACTGGTCTTAAGGAGACCATGGGATCCTACGCCTTGAGGCTCAGGTTCTCTGGGAAGGAGGGGAGTGTGTTAGGCATTTTAGACGGGGGTTCTGGGGCGAGGGCATGGAGAAGTCGGGGGTAGGGGCCAGTGAGTGAGGGGCGAGTTGCCCAATTTAGTGTGCTCTTTGGGTAGAGATGTGTGGTGCCGTCCTGGGTGCTTCCCTGGGAAGACCCTTCCTCCCCGAGAGCAAGCTCGGGTGTGTTTTCTCTGTAAGTCCAGTGTTGGTAAGGGGGGTCAGGCAAGCACCGCCATTTGTCTGTCCCACCACAAATTAGGCAACTTGGGTACGTTTTGTTTTATTTCTGTCGTGTGTGATGACAATAGACTGGGGGCAGTTGGAAAACCAAAAAAGGGACATTGATTGGAGGGCGGCCGGAGTCGCACAAGATAAAGAAGTACTGTGATTTGAGAGGGGTGAACACCAGGCAGCTGGGGCCTCTGAGGCCGTAGGAATTTGGCCTTTGTCTTTAGAGCTCTGCGCTTAATAGGGGTCTATTTCCAGCTTTCAATTCTCAATTCCCAGGAGAAAGGAGGAGAGGAATCTGATTGGTCAGACTTGGGCCCGAGCTCTCCCCTGGCTCAAATCACCTGTGGCTGGAGGGCTATTCCCCAGCACAGACCAGGGCCACTGTGGGCCTCCTCCCCACATACCCAGGAGCGTCCCTAAAAATCATCTGCCACAGTCAGGCCCAAGCGTAAATTCATTTGCCTGGGGTCACAAATAAGTGACCCAACTGGGAATTGTTCTGCCCTTAGGACAGACTTGGGGAGGAAAAGGGGTCTCTGTCCTTGGCCCTAGTGCTCTAGAAGGTCCCACTCTGTCCTCCTCCCAGCCACCCCCCTCATCGGGTCAAGGAGACACATCCACCTGGAGCGTATAGCCTGTGCCCCTGTTGCAGGCCTCGTGCCGGGTGCCCGGGACCCTGGAACCCTACCTCCGAGGCTTTCCGTCTCGTGTCTGGGGTGCAGACCTCACCACGGTGTCTGCGTGCCTAGGTCTGGGGGCTGGGTATGTTGGTGGGAGAGGATGGGCTGGGGGCCACGCTCAGGTTGTGGGCCATAGCTGAAAGAGAAGGGGAAAGGGCGGGGACAGCCTCCCAGTGGACCTCTCTTGGGCGCGGAACTCCACAGAGTATGGGAATTCCAGATTTGAAGCTGGTCCTTTGAGTGGCTATGGAGAAGGGACAAGTATATTTGTTAAGGTAGGAGAATACAATGTCCTTTATTTAACAGCTTGTTAGTGTGATTTATAATGTAGCTGAACATGTAGGCCTGATATGTGGGTTTTTATTTGTACCCTTGCCCCAGGCCCTGGAAGTGTTATAGAGGTGGGCCTGCTTGGGACTGAGAATAAGACACAACTCAACTCCTCCCCCCGCCCCCCATTCGTCATCAGACAGTGGTCTAACGAATCCATGGATTCTCAGCGTTGCTTTTAGTCAGGCAGTCCTCCAAAACTCTGAATGAAGGTCTTGGTCATTTTTCAAGCGTGATGAAAGTCTGTTGCCTCGTCGTGGTGGCATTCCCAGGCCATGCTGCTGACATCTTGATCTGTGCCTTGCTGAGGAGAGACGGGCAGTCTGTCTCGGCTGCTGAGTGGTCCTAGGCCAACGACATGACTTACCTTCTGAGGTCAGACAGACCCCCAACCAAGGTCTGAGGGCAGTACGGACATCTCGTATGCCACCCCAAAGGACCGATGCTGGGGGCACAGAAAGCCACCTTCCAAACCGTGACCGCTGCACTGCACCTTCACCAGCAGTTCGAACTTCCGTCCATGAAACCCCTTTGGCCCTTGGCAGCTGTGTGAACTGCTGGGAGGAGTTGATGGGTCTTGGTTTACTGAGCTTCCTAAAGTGTCCACTTGTTTCGAGTTTCTCTGTCTCTGTCTTACACACCCGGGGTTGGAGTTTGTGTGGTGTGTGCACAGAGACAGAAGAAAGATGACACGTGCCTCTCTAAGTTTTTACGTATTTATGTGCTCACACCCGTCTTAAACTCAGTAAAAACAGCTGGTACCGAAAACCTCATTTTTTCTGAGCCATCTGAGAGCACAGCACCAGCACAGTGCCCCAACATCACTGCCCGCTGTGTCAGGCCGTTTTCTCAAACAAGGCCGCCTCCACCCCCACAGCCCCGCCGTCAGAGTCCACAGACTCACCGGTTAGGTGTCCCTGCCGCACAGGTCTCAGATCCTGTGCAGGCGTCGCCAGTGGCTCCAGTCACGTCCGTGTTGCAGAGGAACCCAGTTTAGGATCACGTGTGCGTCTAGATTTTCGTGACGCTTTTGAAGATCACACGCCAGTTATTCTGCAAAGTGTCCTTTCGTTTGGGTTCATCTGTTGTTCTCTCATGATTAGATTCCAGCGACATGTTTTGGCCAACACACTGCGGCGTGGATGCTTCTCATCAGAGCCTGCGGTCTGGTGCATGGATTCTGTGTGCCCCTACTGCTCGCACTCGCTGCTGTCGTGCAGAGGGAGACGGTCTGCCAGGCCTCTGGAATACAGTTCCTCTTTGCCCTGTGTGACTAGTGTGCTTTGTGGAGAAGTATGCCCGTTCCTCATTAAACTTTATTAATTTGAGGTCTGTGGACTGATGGATTCTAGCTTATTTAAAGTGGTGTCATTTGCTATTGTTTCTTTTTATCCTCAAATTGTTCCCGATTTGACCGGCGCGTGCTTCTTTGAGCAGCTCCTGTTTTCCGTTTTGGGTCCCCATTGTTCTCGGAGCCCTTGCTTGTTTCGGGTGCAGGGAGACACTCCGGAGTCCTCTTGTGCTCTCCCTGCCTGAGGTTTGAATCTGCCGTTTCTCCAGGGAGAAATGTTTCTCTTGGAGACACGAGAATGATCATTGGAAACCAAGATCTGGGGGTTAGTGGTGTGCTCGTTGCTTCTAGAGTATTGTTGCTTTTATTACTTTTTTAAGTCCTCACCTAAGAATGTTTATTACGTGTAGAGAGAAGAAGGGAGCGGGCAGACAGACGTGGATGTGAGAGGGAAACATCGTTTGGGTTGCCTCCCATATGCGCTCTGACCAGGGATCAAACCTGCAGCTCCGGATGTGCCCTGGCCTGGAATCCAAGCTCACCTTTCCGTGTATGGGGTGGTGCTCCAGCCACTGAGCCCCCTGACTAGGGCTCCACACACACTTTTCCCTGCCCTTCCTCAGTCCCAGCACCTGGCTTTTCGATGGCATTGTTCAGGAATGGGACACCATTTTCTCATTCATATTTAATTGTTTGTGTTTTAAAATACACATTATGGCATTTTCCAAGATTATTTGATTTGGTTTCATAGGTTGTAGCCATGCTGCCTTCCTCCTACCACAGGGTTTTTGCAAATGCCATGGCCATTGCCTGGAGCTGCCGTTTCACCCCCCTCGCTGCTGCTGCTTTCTGTTTCCTGTTTGTTTTGTCGTCCATCAGCAGGAACAAAGCATTTCTCCACTGAGAGACATTTATTAATTTTTGTTTTTGTTTACTGTTACAAAAACTGTCTTACTGAGTATTTTTAGACACTTCTTCACTTGTGCCAGTATTTCTCCAGGGTAAATATGGCCAGCGTTAAAGAGTGAGCCAGGGCTCCAGCTTTGCCCTGCGTCCCCTTAGAGTGGGGAGCATGTCACTCATTGCTGTGGCCCAGGCCTGGGGGGCATGCTGTCCATGCTCAGTGCGCGCTTACTGGACCCAACTACGCCTGTGCCTCTTCCGATGAGCAGCAGGCCTTAGAGAGTACTGTTTCTGGGCGGTGAGGAGCTGCCTTGGGGTTTCACGCCAACATAGTTTACCCCTAAGCAGTCTGGCCTTTTGTTTTTTTTCAACAGAAGGTGGTCTTCTGCTCCATTAAAGAAGCGCTGGAGGTGGACTGGAGCAGCGACAAAGCGAAGGCCGCCCTGAAGCGCACAACTCCGGACTACTTTCTCCTCCAAGGTGAGGGCTCCAGGCGCCCGGCGAGCCAGGCTCTGGTTTCCGAAAGCGTGGCTGCGGGGTCCAGGCAGTTTCTTGATGTTCGCCCTGAGTTGAGGTCCTCTTTAGCCAGTTCTCTGTGGCCACACATCTGAGTGAATGGACACCAGGGCCGTCATTGAGCTCTGGTTTCTTAGTGGGTTTTGCACTTGCTTATTATTTGTTGCAGTGAACAGCCCACTAAAGTTGAACCTGAGATAACATGTCATAAATCAAACAACTTCTGAGACCACTTTTCCCTCTTCAGAGTTCTCCTTGGCCCCAAAATCAGCTCTCCTCGCCTAAATGGTTCTCTCTCTTTCCCTCTTCCCTCCCTGCTGGTGCTCAGGGGACTGTTAGCTAAGTATTGTCTGGCTCCTTCCCCATTGTTCTTCTGCCTGGCACTTAAAAATTTTTTTTTGTATTCTTTTAATAACTAACATTGAGTGCTTAGTACGAGCCGTTGGTGGTGGATATGATTGCCATCCCTTTTTTAAAGAAAAAGAAACTGAGGCACAGAGAGAGAATATTAAGGTTATTCATATTCTCAAAGTTACACAGCAGTTAAGTGTAAAAATATCAGTTAATTAGTGTAAAAATAACTCATTTATTGCAGAAAATACCAGAAAAATACAAAGAAAAAAATCACCTTGACCTTTTGGTGCTTTGGGGAACGTATTCCCCAACTTCTTTCTCAACGTCCCAGTTCACGCCGCACAGGGCGCTGGAGTCCCTCGGTCACCTGTCCCAGGCCCCAGGTGTGCGCCCAGGCCAATGGGGGTCAGTGTCTGCAGAGCCGTGACCCTGAGGTGCAGATGTAGCTCATCCGTATAACAATATCTTCAGTTGCCTTTGGACAGTGTTTGGTCTCCTCTCTCAGTGCTGAGAGGAGAGCCACACCCCCGCCGCCCGCTTCCCTTGATCTGTGCAGACTCCAGGAGCACCCCTCCACATTAGGGCCGACGTGGCTGTGCGGGCTGGTCCACACGCATTCCTGCCTCTCCACAGGGGAATGCGTGGAACCATGTGAAGCCTCCTTGTTATCCTAGTCAGAAGATCAGGTGCAGTTAAAGTTTATCTTTGCATTACTCATGTGAAAGCTCTTCCCCTACTAATTAATGCTGTTACCCTGATTAGGAACAAGGAGAGTTGGGGAATGAACTACTTTGAAACTCTTAATACCCGTTTGCATAGAAATAATGGAATGGCTGCAGTAAGGAATGCATCTGTTGCTTGTGAGTATAGAACTCGGAGAAAAGCCCCTTTAAGGACGGGGACACCTCAGCCAGGAAGTGCCAGCTGCAGTCCCAGCAGTGCCCCCTCTCTGGGGCTCAGAGCGCTGGGCCTGGCCCCTTGGGAGAGGCTGATTGCGCAGTGCCTTCAGGAAATAGTAGCTGTTAGTTTGCAAAGTTGTGGGGGTTTTTTTTTTTCTGTTTTTAAGAGCGATGGGGGGAAAGGGTGGGAGAAAGAGGGAAACATCTATCAGCTGCCTCTTGGATCCACCGCAACAGAGACCAAACCCACAACCCAGGCACATGCCCTCACCAGAAAGTCAACCCAGTGACCTTTCATTTTCCTGCACGGCACCCAACCAGCTGAGCCCCACCTGTCTGGGCAGTCTGCAAAGGTTTTGGGCATAACTGCTGCTTATGTCATTGGTCAGCCAGTGTTTGAGTTTACCATGATCTGGAGATTCCCAGTGGGGGGGCAGTGTGCCTGCCAGTGCATCAGCAGGTCTGCAGACATCTTTGGTTGGGACTACTGGGAGTGAGAAGGTGGTGCTGGTGTCTTGTGGGGAGAGGGCGGGGAGGTTGCTGAGTGTCCCATATCACGAGGCACAAGGATGACTCCCCACGACAGGGAGTTACCTGGCCCCTGGCGACATTACCGCCAAGGTCGGAGAACCCTGATCTAACCCTTCCCATTTTCACAGTGTTTTCTTATCCAGACCATCATCACAGAACCGTATGAGGTCAACACAGTGAGAATGTCCCTGGTTTGGTTTCTCAAGATGAGGAAACAGAGACCCAGAGAGGCTCCATGTTTTGTGTGGGAGGACAGATTGTCGGTGGCTAAGGGGGTGGACGCTGAGCACCCCGTGTCTGCCAGGAGTTGTTCCGAATGCAGTGGGCACCAGGGCCTGCGGTCTTTCTGGGCGTCTCTCTCGGCGCCTCCTTGTTTAACACCCTCAGCTGCCTGCTGCACGAAGGTTCTGGAAGTAAAGGGAACTGCTCTTGTGCTCTTGTTCCCTGGTTACTACTGGCAGCCCAGAGCCCTCAGCTCCCAAGCATTAAGCTGACTCTGTGGACTTGTCACCTTGCTCTTACAGTCAGAGAAATACTTCTTTCCATTTCCAGCTAGGCCATTTGCACACCTGTGAGAATCTCCTGTAATTCGACCCTGTTGGACTTACCCAGGAGAGCACAGATGCTCCCACAGGGGACGTCACCCTCTGCCAAACACGCTTGCTGTCGCCAGTCTTTGCGATCTTGGGCAGATGCGTCAGTTTGCCACTCGAGGATCTTTCTTCCTCACCTGTAAGAATGGAAGGACTACGCTACTTAGCCTGTTTCTGAAATCTTTCCTCATTGTAAATAGTCAGACCTTGTGTCTTGTTTTTCTGTATTTTTTATTTGTATGCTTTTAACAACTTTATAGAGGTATGATTTACTCCAGAAAGTTGATTCATTTTAAAAGTGTACATGAAGTTCTCATTTGATGTCATTAATAGATTCTGTGACCAGTCTCATCTTGAAAGTCATGTAAGTTGTTTTCAGTTTTTCTCAGGTCTTGGTGTTCCCCTTATCAGTGCCATTGGTGGGTTTTAGTGCGTGCCTTGATGGGGGATTGAACCCACCACCTCGGTATTCCAGGACAATGCTCTAACCAACTGAGCTACTTGGCCAGGGCCTCCCAGTCCTTGGAATTTATTTCCAAGACCCTTCTAGGAACATGGCTGATCCACCTGATGGTGCCTTAAGAATTCCCAGTGAGGAAGGTGTTGGCTGCGATGCCCACCTGAGGCTGCCTCACCGAGACCCTGCCTTCCTTGCCCTGTTGGAGGAAGTAGTAGGTGCTTGATAAACACATATTTTCAGTATGAGTGACTCTATTGCTGGTCCGGTCACTTGCTGCACTCTGGAGGGGGGGAGCAGCCTGCCCACCTGTGTCCCTACAGGATCTGGAACCGGGCGGGCCCTGGCCTGCCCCTCCCGCGCATGTGGTTCTTACCGCCCCATTCACAGTTCAGCCCCCTGGGGAAGCAGCGCCCCCCCCCGCCTCCGTGCTTGCCTTGTTTGGGTGCAGAGTGTTTTTCCAGTTCACTATAAGGTAGTGGCCAGACTGAACGCTTCCTGCTGCATTTTTCCACTATCTTGAGAGTTGGCCTCTCACCATCTGTGAGCAGAAAGGCCTCATCTTTTTATTATTCTCCCATGATAAGCTGCAAAACATTAAGCACGAGCTGGTTTCCTGTGGCAAAAAGTTGACTTTGATTTGTTCCTTTTGAGGTTAGTGTGAGTTTATCATAACAGGAGCGCTAAAAATATCAGGTCTAGGATGGAAACAGTGTTCACTTAACCAGCACGAGCAGTAATAGGCAGGGTCAGTCCAGAGCGGGGGAAAAACGGACTTCATCTCAGATGAGAATCGCTCAGCGGAGAATCCTTGGCAACCCTACCTTTCTCTGTCTGGGTTCCAATGATGCACAACAGAGAGCTCAGGCCATCTCTGAGCCACGGGGTTGACATTGCAGATGACCGTAGAGCAGGCTTCTTTGGGAGCACCCACTAGGGCCAGATCCCGTGCCGGGAACCGTCTGAAGTGGGGGAGTGAGCCTTGCTGCCAGAGGGAAAGACAAATGCATCACTGCGCTTCCTGCGAGGCAACCTGAGTGTTCTGTTTCTCAGTGTGTGCGAATTACCCCGTAGTGATCAAAAGCAAACGGTACAGGAGGGAGCCCAGGGGACTGAGGGTGTGGCCGTGTTCGGGGAGTGGGAAAGGCTTCCTGGAGGAGGAGGCATTCATCAGTGCTGGATCTCAAAGGCTAGGCATTTGCCAGGCGGTGAAGGAAGGTGAGGCTGGCGTGGGCTGAGGAGCGGCGCAGGCAGACGCACAGTAGTGCCGAGACCGCAGCCCCGCGAAGTGGGCCGGGTGCACTCCCGCCGAAGGAGACTCTCAGGGCCCTGTGCTTTTAGGGCTTCATCTTAGAGCCAGTGGTTCCCACTGATAGAGTGCCAGAATCACTCTGAGAGTATCTGCAAAATGCAGATTCCCCAGCTCTAGCTCGGATGGACTGAACGAGAAAGCCTCAGGATGGCCGGCATCGCCGTGTTCCTGCAAAGCTCCCAGATTTTCTGAGGGCCAGCCACCCAGAGGGAGACCCCTGCCACCAGTCAGTGGGGACCCGTGTCCTGTGTCAACCTCCATTGTGTTTGAATTTTTAGACCTGTTTAAGTACTGTGTTTTAAATGGGGCCATTACTACACGGAGGCGGAAAAAAAAGGAACTGACTCATGTACCTGTGATGCAGTATTTTGACTGTCTGTCCTCAGACTCAAGAAGAAAGAACTATAAACAAACACTGAACTCTGGTCAGTAGGTGTGTTGGTCACAGCGGTAAGGGTTAGCAGTTCCGAAAGTACTCATCGTGTATTCCAGAGTCAAGCAGACAAGCAGGTGAATGTGCATTGTGGGTAGCAAGACACAGGGTGGTTCTGTTCTGTTTTGTCAGTGCCAGAAGGGTGGTTCCTGTTGGTGTGGAGGGTGTGGGAGGCTAGAAGGAACCTATGGGGTCTGATCAGGATCTGAGCCCTTCCATGAGCCCATGGTTTTCTTATTTGTAGCCATAAAAGCGGACGTGTGTGCCTGTGTATGTTTTCACACTTACACACACGTGTTTTCTAGCCCTGCTCGTTGAGGGGCCTAGAGGCAAAGACAGCTGGTGACAGGGAACCCACCTCATGCCCAGGCTGTAACTGTCGGCA